GGTTGAATAAATCTCAAAATATTTTCACACATGTATCACAAACTTTTATTTTTATCATTTAAAATGGGTCATTTTAAAATGCTATACGCCTGCATAAATTATCGGCAAATATCTTTTTCTTTTCGAAATTTATGACGCGTTTCTAATCATGAATATTAAAAGCGACTTATTGATAGCATTGTGTAAATTAAAATGGTTAGGGCTTGTGGAAACAAGTATTATGTTACGTGGCTCTAAACGACAGGCTGAGGTGGACTGTACTCACTACATGAATTGACATAATAATAGCTTAGCACTAAAAATCTCAATTCATAACAGTATAGAATTTTCAGCTTAATTTCATGATTGAAAAGGTCTTCGATGAACAGAGTTGACCGTGAAGTAACTAGTGTCCAGTCAAAAATGCAGATGTGGTGTTGGAACTGTGTGGTCCACGCAGCACCCAAGGGAATAATAATAATCGAGATAAGCCCTTGAATCTACTTTTGTTTTATCTCATTTTTCTGAGAGTATGGGGTCAAATATATCTCACAACTTTCTCAATTATCACTGGAGTCTTTTCAACTAATACAAACAATTCAAAATTGTAATACATGCGTATAAATATTTGGTGTATAATTTTACATCAATATTTGTCATGCGTTTGTATTCACCAATAATTGATAAAAAACATTAGAGATAGTAAAGTGTGTGGCTGGTGAGAACAAGCACTTTTCTTACGTGACCTCAATTGGAATGCTGAAATGAATTGCACTCATTATTGTAATTATTAAAATTAAGATAAAAGCTTTATTCTGAATACAGTACAGCATTTCCAGCTTGAATTACGAAAAATACCCATTTATTCATAAGTAAAAACACAGTTTTTGTTCAGCGAAGAAATTTCTTTTCAACGACTTCATTTTCAAGCTGTACAGTCGTATTTATATAACAGAAAAGGTTATTAAGTGGTACTATATAATTGCTCAGTCAATATACATATATAAGTGATAAGAATAACGGTAATTAAATTATTAAAGATGGTTTTATAGGTGAATTGAAATCAAAAATGTTTTAAAAATGTCAAGTGTTGTCTAAAAATTTTAGGAAATTAGGAGTACGATTACGATAAGAAGTGAAGTGGAAAGAATTCAAGTGGTAAAATAAAATAAAGTAAAAACTAGAAAGAACATTACTATGACCAAGGTAAAGAAAGGGGTTTGACAAAACGTTTTTGAACACATAATTTAGGTTTCTGTTCATGTATAGCTAAAGCTTCAGCTATCCATAAGTGAAGAAAACGTAAACTTTTGGAGCGATTCGATTTTGCCATGTAGATAACTTGGTTTTATCTACTCTATGTGAGGGAATATTCAAGTAAAACACTCATCTACAGTACAGCTCTTGACGGAATTTCCTTCTATCTCGAATATGCGCCGATCTCCAACTTATTTAATAATAATGAAAGTATTAATAACCACTTTATTCCAAACAGTAACAGAAATCATACAGAATGGAACCATCGGCGTTTTTGTACATTTGCAACAATTTAGCAAAGACATAAAATTTAATGGACAGAACACAAGTAGTTCAGCGAAGAGTCTCTTTTCGGCGAATTCATTTTCATAGCTGTACAATCGCAAATATATATATATGGTTGTTTTGTATGCATGTGTACATTAAATTTGCCAAATGAAAATGCAATTAGTAAGTTCAGATGAATTGGATATTCATATAAGAGGGTAGTAATAAAAGTGATGCATTGTCACAAAGTTACGTAATAACATGAATAGTTTGATGAGAGAGTTGTGCTCAGGGTGCACATGGAAACAAAATAGCATACGGAATTACGCAAGAGTTTTAAGTAGTTCGAAAAATAAGCATATAATTAATAGTGTTCTCTGAGCTGGCTGGTTTAGTTGCGGAGCTTTCGTCGTCCTTCTGGACAACATCTTCAGTGCAATATTTAGCATAAAATGAAATGATTTAAATTCCTTCATGAGTGAAATAATTGCGTCTCCTGGTAACCACCTTTACATATGTATTGATCATTTTCTATTGACTTGGATTTTAAACTTTCTGATCACCTGATTTACTTTTTATTAGTTGGTATATTTCGTCTATATTAACGTGTTTGTTAATTGCATTTTCGTTTGAGTACCAGGCTTCTAGGAATTCCCTGACTACACTTTTGGTGTTTCCTGTCTAAGATTTTGACATAATCCCAATCAAATTGATGTCCATAATTGTCGAAATGCATTGATACTAAAGAATACATATCGTGTCTTTTCACTGCTGATTTGTGTTCTGGTACTCAAACGAAAATGCGACTAACAAACACGTTAATATAGACGAAATATACCAACTAATAAAAAGTAAATCAAATGGTCAGAAACTTTAAAATCCAAGTCAATAGAAAATGGTCAACGCATATGTAAAGATGGTTACCTGGAGACGCAATTATATCACTCATGAAGAAATTTAAATCATTTCACTTTATGCTAAATATTGCACTGAAGATGTTGTCCAGAAGGACGACGAAAGCTCCGCAACTAAACCAGCCAGCTCAGAGAACACTATGAATTGCAAATCATCCACCCGAGCTAGAAATTTTCTCTATTATTTCAATAAGCATACAAGCAAAAGTTAAGTCAAATCAACAGAGTTGTTACCATGATAGTAGAAGTGGTTGAATAATTTTCTTTTGTGTGCATAGTTTTGGTTTTTCTAACTGAATGTCTAGGGGTTCTGCAGTGCAAAGAAGGCAGGTTGTTGAAGCAGGAGACGTTTGTTGAGATGGAATGACCAGTGGTGATGAGACGTTTGATTATTTCACTCCTTATATGGCCACTACTTCCTTTCTGCAGCCACTCTGGATAGTGTTCTTTGACCCTTTTTGACAGGATGAGCGTCGAACGACCAATGTACCTGTCTCCACAGCAACAGGTGAACTGATATACACACATAGAAGTGGTCAGGTGCGGGATCTTATCCTTTGGGCTTCTGTAGATCAGCGGACGACTGGAGAACACAACTCTCAATGTTGCTGCAAAGAAAGTTCTTCTTAAAGAAGTGGATATTCTCCTTCTAAGTACAAAGCCAGTAATTCGTATGGACGTGAAGGATAAGCTTATACTGTTGGCCTCATCACTGTGTATCTATTAGTTTACCCGCCTTTTTGGAGTTAGGTAATTCGGCTGTACTTAGCCTTTGTTATCCAAACGTGTTAGCGATCACTTGCCAATATGGTTTAACAGAGAAGATAAAATATATCCCCTCTGTTCTGCTTTGAAACACCTAACGGATTCTGGAAACTTAGCGAACTCGAAAAGCAACTTCAGAGTCATCTACAATGTACGCAGAAACCCTATCAAACTTCTCCAAACCGTAGAAGACATGATAATCTACATGTTAAATCCTGAATTCAGCGGTCCTTTCAATCACTGAACCTACAATGGAGCCGATTTTTTCTCTGAACACTTAATCACTAATTTTTTGTTATCCTAATTTTTTTGATCACTTTTGATTTTATTTGTTTTCTTTCCTTCCCACTAAAACACTTCTATTACTCATGGCACTGATCTTCACTTGACCCTGTTTGAATTTTAGCTGAGCACTACTCAATCTTGTTCGTTGTGTTGCGTCACTCAATTTACTTATTTATTTTTTACTGTAGTTTCTAACCTACTAATGCTTTCTGTATTTCATGATAATAATAATTAAACATTCACGATTTTCAAGGGTTGGTTTGTAAGGATTAAATTTGTTTTTACGAGTTTTACTACGGATTGATATAAGTTAGAGAACAACCATTGGAAAGCAGCCAAGGAGTACTGGACAGCCAGCTGTTTCGTCAGCCTAGTTTGGGAATCATCTGCAGTACGCACCCAACTCACTCGGGTTCGAATCCAGAACCTTCCGGTTACATCTTTGGAAACATTCCTTTTCCTGCGATTAAAAGTTACCGCGTATTTGCGATAGCATAACTTGGTAATGATATCTCTTCTTTTATATAAAAATAAAATCAAAATTGTATAATTCATCGAAATCTGATCTCTAACCACCGTGGACAAAATTAGTCAGTTGCGAAAAATGAGGGAAGGTCTATTCAGAACTTAAGGCTGGAAACAAAATGACCATGGAAGACAGTATTGAAGATGTCGGTGAACGCCGAACGATGAAATATCCCCAAACAAATAATATTGTATAAAGCGCAGAAGACAAATCATCCTTTACATTGTTGAAGTAGGTAAAAAAACGGCAAGTTTACACTTTGACAAACCTGATGGAACAACTCCATTCTTCAAGTATTGGTTTTGTAGGGATTTGGTTGATTGGTTACAGGATTTCATCATGAGCTGACATCAGTTAGAGAACCATTGGAAAACCAGCTGGGAGTTCTGGAAAGCTGTTTTGTCCTAGTTTGAAACTCCTCATCAGTAAGCGCCCACCACCATGGTTCGGACCTAGGACCTGGACCTATTCAGGTAGGTAGTTACCTGGGGTTCCAGTGGGAAGTCATGATCAGTAGGGTGCAGCAGGTCGGGTGTGAGGACAAATACTCGCCGAAGACATTGGCTAGCGGTTGCGCTATATCGTGAATTGGCAGAAGTTAGAATTCATGGACTGGCCATTGTATTGGGTCAGTAGCTTAGTGGTCTACGAGTTAGCTAGCCTTGTAACCAGTAGGTCCTGGGTTCGAACCCCGCAGTGGGGGTGCACAATGATGAAGAGTCCCAAACAAGGACGATGTAGCTGGCCAGTACTCCCAGCTGGTTTTCCAATGGTTATCTAACCGATGTCAGCTCATGATGAAATCCTGTAACCAACTCCATTCTTGTTCATCTATCAAACATTTAACATGGTAGAATACTTTAACACAGAAACATTAACTGAATAGAAACAATGGATAAAAGTAGTGAAAACTATTTGTTGATTCAAATGATAGTAAGAATAATGAACATTGTCCAATTCAGAGTTTTCAGGATTCATAGATCTGCACTTTAAACATCATGGAGACCATAGAACAAAATTCTATGTACTTTTTCAAGTAACAGTCACATAAAATGCAGTTTATTACAACAAATAAAAGTCAACAACTAAATTCTGGCTGAGAGAGTGAAGAATTGTGTATCAGTGTGCCAGAAAATTTACTTTGTATACATTCGCCTACTTACAAATAATTAAATAGTATAAATTGTTACATAAAAATACAACATATTGATCTTTAATTTGCCCAATCGACTAGTGCTTTGATGCTATCATCTTCCATTTGGTTATTCTCTACAATTAAAAAAAATATCACATGGGATATGAGTTAATGGTGGGACACAATGTTTTTATTGTGATTGAAGCTCTTCATACAGCCTGAAAATAAAAGGATTTGTAAAAGTATTACCTGGGAGTGAATAACTTCTGTGTGTGTGTGTGTGTGTCTTGGTTCAGGTGGTATACTTTCAAATGAATTATTCGTTGTCCTCTGTTTTGAATCATCATGTGACGCAGATTCTTTTTGCTTCACCTTAAACCTTGACACAATCATCAACCTGAAACCAATCTGGAAATCTTCCGCTGTCACTCAGCATCAACAACAAAATTCGGATTTTCAATACAAACACCAAATCAGTTCTTCTATACGGATCAGAAACTTGGCGGGTCACAAGGAATATTTCCAACAGCCTGTTGCAGACCTTCATCAACAACTGTCTTCGCTGGCTCTATACTGAAGATCAGATGGCCGCCGGAAAGAATCACCAACAAGAAACTATGGGAACAAACAAAACAAGAACCAATCACCCAACAAATATGCAGGAGAAAGTGGAGATGGATTGGACACTCGCTGAGGAGGCCACTGGGTGACATCGCTCGTCAGGCCATTGCTCGAGTGGAATCCGAAAGGGAAGCGTCGAGTGGGACATCAGTGCAAGGGTGACATGGAGGAGATCGTGTGAAGAGGAGTTGAAACAGTATGGACTAGCATGGATGCAAGTGAAAAGTACAGCAGAAGACAGAATCAAGTGGAGACGTGCAGTTGAAGCCCTATGTTCCCCTGGGAACCCAAGGGAACAATAATAATAAATAAACCTTGACTTATAATACTGTGGGTAAATTAGTTCCTCAAAATACTGAACAAAGGTTTTGCTGAGGAGGGGTTCAGAAATATGTTTGGGAAGTAAAAATTCTTTGAGAAACGTATGATAAGGATTCATTGGCTGAAAAGTTACGTGATTAGCCTTGAGTTCCGCAGCAGTCTTACTAAGTAACTGATTGATTCAAAGCTTAATATCGGATAAAACATACTTAACATCTGATGTAAGATATGGGAGTGGGTTTACCTCCGACATAGGCTCAATGGTAAAGTGTTTGTCAACAACTGACGTATTGAGGGTTCGGCTTCCTATCTATGTACTGTATTACTATTATTATTGTTCCCTTGGGTTCCTAGTGGAACATAGGGCTTCAACTGCACGTCTCCACTTGATTCTGTCTTCTGCTGTACTTTTCACTTGCATCCATGCTAGTCCATACTGTTTCAACTCCTCTTCACACGATCTCCTCCATGTCACCCTTGCACTGATGTCCCACTCGACGCTTCCCTTTCGGATTCCACTCGAGCAATGGCCTGACGAGCGATGTCACCCAGTGGCCTCCTCAGCGAGTGTCCAATCCATCTCCACTTTCTCCTGCATATTTGTTGGGTGATTGGTTCTTGTTTTGTTTGTTCCCATAGTTTCTTGTTGGTGATTCTTTCCGGCGGCCATCTGATCTTCAGTATAGAGCCAGCGAAGACAGTTGTTGATGAAGGTCTGCAACAGGCTGTTGGAAATATTCCTTGTGACCCGCCAAGTTTCTGATCCGTATAGAAGAACTGATTTGGTGTTTGTATTGAAAATCCGAATTTTGTTGTTGATGCTGAGTGACAGCGGAAGATTTCCAGATTGGTTTCAGGTTGATGAATGTGTTTCTCGCCTTCCCGATTCTCGATTAGACATCCTCGTCCGTTCCTCCTGTAGTTGAAACAAGATAAGTGAGTAAAGCAACTGGATGAGTGAATGAAGTAACCTCTTTCATATACCTCCCGTTGATGGTGATTGGCGTTTGATGTTGCTGCTGCTGTTCTTGTTGTTGTTGGTTAGTTATTTTCATAACCTCCGTCTTGTCTATGTTCACCTGGAGTCCTGTCTTTGCTGCTTCTTCGACTAGTTTGTTGGTTTTCGATTGTAAGTCTTCGATTTTGTGTGACATCAAACATCTATGTACTGTAAAACTGCCTAATAATAATAATAATAATTTTCTTTATTCCAAAACAGTACTTGTGATACAGAATGGAATTCTCAGCATTTTTACTACAGTATTGCATCCAGTTAGTACATTATGACAACAACACATTGGCATGTCAGTAGCAAAGCCAAAGTTGAACAGTGTTTGAAGGTGTTAGAAAAGTAAGTGCTATCATATTTACTGGCGTAAGCGGAAGAAAGAAACAAAGTAGCACATAACAGAAAAAGAGAGAGAGAAAAGGAAAAGAAAGAAAGAAAATGTTGTACCTATAAATGATATGAGTTGGAAAGATGAGATCCAGTTGTTCTACTGACTATTTAATAAGTTATGGGTGTCACGCCTAGTGCTTTGTTTATCGCACAAAACACGAGCCAAGTAAGGTATGGTTGAGTTTTTGTACTTGCTGGTGCGAGCATATAGTTTTCTATATAGGCTTCTGGTACTGCCTGACGAGATACAAGGAGAGAGTTGTGACTGAAGAGGGTGGTGTGAGTTAGATTAAATGGATTTGGCCCGTTTTTCACATGAGTCCATGTGCCTGTCAACCAGAATTTTAACAAGCTGATTAAGTGGCACGTTGCTCTCCCTGCTGACAACCTATAACATCCTGCGTTATAAGGTATTGTTCACCAACCGGTAGCAAGTCGAGAGGAGGAGAGAGGTTTGGTTTCAGCCCTACAACCTCACTTCACCACTATAACTGAAATTTCAAGTCTTAAAGCTTGGAGCATTGTGTTCCACTCAGAACACATGGAAAGAAAAACAAATGATCGATCAATATTGAATCAACATTCATAATATAAGCAAACCTGGGAGTGTGACTAAAGTGATTAAAAAACAGTAAACTAATCACCACACTGACTTCAAGTGTCCTGTTTTTCTGATGATATACGATTAGGAAGGAAAAATGTGCAACAACCTTTCGGACTAAAAGATAACAACGAAAACCAAACGTGAAACATTAATTATCCATCTACTTTTCAAAGACATTGCAGGATCTTACAGTCCATAAAGTTTAAAAGTGAAATTAAGCGACGTAATGTCGCGCAATGGAGTGACAGAATTTAACAAAGAACTGTCCCCCTTAAAAACCAATAAGAAGGGACACAATTTACATGAATAATTCCATATTAGTTTGTTTATTAGATATATCACACAGTGAATGAAACAGTATTATTTACTGGATGACAGTTTCGAATACAATTTATCATTGTTCATAATCATATCATCAATTACAATCACACGACTTCGAAACTTGAGTTGTATAGTCTCCTTTGTCCCCTCCTATTTGTCGTAAGGGTAGTAGAATTTTCCAGATGTCCGACTGGACAGGTGATGAATCATTCCGATTAAACACGTTTGTAGTTGATTCGATAAACAGAGCTTCTGTTATCGATCTCTCCCTCCATTCACTCTGTGACATTAGATTCTAAAACTGTCATCCTATCCCATCCTATCGTATGGTTGTGTGTAACTGCATGTAGTGCTATAGCTGAACTATTCTCTAGATTTCTTATCTTATTCGGGTCAACCAATCTAGATTTTGCTGCTAGGTCTTTATGTTCGGCTAGTCTGACTGCCTCTGTTCTATTAGTTTGACCTATGTATTTGACCTGACAATCATTGCAGGGTATTAGATAAACTAAATTGTTTTGTTTTAAATGCTCCACAAGACTGATCCTGTAACCGACAAATTTTGTTTCTAATTGAGTTTGTGAGTGGTTTGAATGCTAGCCACTTATATTCCTGCCTTGTTAAGAATTCTGAGTAAGGTTTACGAGGTTCCTTCCTTTTATGGAATTACTATTGATGATTTATATTCCTTATTGTTCGTGTTGTCTTGCTCATGTTTGAAATGCATGTCGTCACTACTATTATTATTATTATCACTGTCGCTACTATCATTATATATTTTATTTTTACATTTCCTTACACATTTTCTTGACTAATTTATCAGGGTAATTATTAAGTTCCAAGGCTTCTCTTATATGCCTCAATTCCTGTCTAAGATTTTCCTTGGTACTACTTAGTTTTTGTGCTCTGTCACTCAAACATTTCACCAATCCTATTTTTACTGACATAGGATGGGATGAACGGAAGTCCAAATATCTGTTTGAATGTGTGGGTTTCCTGTAAACACTAGTGTTTAACTTCCCGTCTTCTTTCCTTTCTACGCTACAATCTAACATTGGCAGTTCCCCTTCCTGACTTTTCAATTCACAAGTGAATTGAATTGCCTCCACCTTTGCGTTAATGTGTTGGAATACCTGTCGAGTCTGACATATGGAAAATTCCACTACCCCAACGACGATAAATAGGAGGGGACAAAGGAAACTATAAAACTCAAGTTTCAAAGTCATGTGATTAAAACTGTTGGAAACGAAAAGCAACAAGTTGGCAGAAGAAACATCCAGAGAAGATAGGACTTCGGGTGAACATAGAGAAAACAGAGGTGATGAAGATTCCTGGGCAAGAACAACAACAACAACAGACAACGATCAGCATTAATGGGAGGAACCTGAAAGAAACAACCTCCTTCACCTACCTGGGAAGCATCGTTTCAACTACAGGCGGACAGAACTGATGAGGATATCAAAGCAAGAATCGGAAAAGCAAGACAAGCTTTCACTACTCTCAAGTCTGTCTGGAGGTCAACATTCAGCACTCAGCATCAAAAATATGATCCGGATTTTCAACTCCAATGTGAAGTCAGTCAGTGCTACTCACTGTACGGATCAGAGACTTGCACTGCGCGTCATAAACAGCATCTCAAACAAACTACAGACCTTCATCAACAGCTAGGTGTCTTCGCTCAATACTACTCAAGATCAGATGGCCGGTCAGAAAAGATCAGCAACAGAGATCTCTGGCTATGAGCGAACCAACACAGCAGGAACCGATTGTGAAACAAATAGGCAGGAAGAAATGGAGATGGATTGGTTGGCCATACTCTGAGGAAACCATCAAGTGACATCACTAGACAAGCCATTGCTCGAGTGGAA